AATCAAAGAACTTCATCAACTCATTGTTCGTAAATGAGAGCACTTCGGCGGGTATAGCACAACTAAAGTGCGACACACTTAAAAACCTTTAGGAATATTTCCCAATCAACATACGTTGGTCGAACAAGATACTGTAGATATCTGTCTCATTAGGTTCGATCTACACCTACTTACTCACATGGGCGTCGAGCAATAAAGCAAACAGGAGGTACGAAGACAAACCAAGAGATTGACAACAGTATATGGGCTACGAATCTTCCCTCAAGTCGGTGTAAGAATCTCCGGAAAAGATCGACAGAAGGGATAGAAGTATGGCGGTACAATGAGACCGTGGGGAATTGTATGTAATAGCAGTCTGCGAATATACCACCATCCATAAGCACAACGAACCCAAGCTCAATACTTGCAATAATGTTAAAAGTGTGCGAACGACCTACAGTCATCGGCTCGGTGATTCAGGTACGATCCTTTTTAATTGTTCCAACCTTGACTGCTGATTAAAACACGAACGATAATCTTAAATATCGCAGATTAAACAAGAAATATTTTACCATTAATTTATCTGCGATGATGATGAAACCAAAGGAGATAAAGAAAACGCTACAATGCTCACCTGCTTTGAAAGCGCTTCGGCATCCTCCAACAGTTTCGGACCAAGCAAAGCATACGCCTCGACGATCAGTCTTCGAACACAGGCTTTAACTTTCGCAGGAATCAACGAAACCGTTCGGTTTCTGTGAGCGCTTTCCTTTCTCTGTGTCTTCTTCGGAACATTATCGAACAGTGACAAGAGACTGGCAAGCACTGGCACCAGACCGGACCATGCAATCTGATCGACTGAAGAAGGACAGTAAGCGTAAAAAAGAGACAATTAACTGCACTAGTAATAATATACAGTCAGCTACGCAGCTCGTAACTGTCATCCCGTTCCCATTGACGAAGTGGGGATTCATTTGCTGTGATAACAGACCGCTCGAAACGGGTTCAGAAGTTTGTGCTGTTTAAGAAGGCATCCATCTGACAAACAATCTACCTGTCATATCCGTTTATCTTCCGGCTGAATGCAGCTCCGATACAGTCAGAGATAACTTCCATGAAAAAATATACCAGCTCCTACAGAGGGCCTTTAAGTCGGAAATTTTAATGCTTGAAGCCTACGGTTGATAGACTGAGCCCTTGAGAATCACATTGTGTAGACCTTTTTGGCCCATACATGCGCCGGTTAGACTGAGAACATTTACAAATCTACGCGAATCATGATCTTTTCATTGCCCCCTCCCAACGTTCGGCATTTCAAAACAAGTTTCATAATCCGGTGATCTCCATCAAGAAACCCATGCTGAATCCAAATTGATCGAATTGCAGTGAGTCGCCGATAGAGAGAGGGTCTGTCTTAGACCCTTGGACTGAACCACCAGTGTTGAATACAATCACGCATTAGCCTGCGTAAAGGTTGCAATCAATTGCGACTAGCGGCCGAAAAAGAACATGTAGATCAACGAGAAGTGTTGGCCAGAAGTTGATATTGGTCACGCCTTCGTTTAGTACACTGAATAATACTGTTCCACAACTCAACTTCTCCAAAAAACACTCTATGAAGCTGTTCAAGACAGCTGTAGTTGCACCCCACATAAAAATTTCCATTGGATATAAATGCGTTGTCTTAATTTCGATGCATACCGGTTGATACCAGCTGACCACGAGCACCTCCAAGCGCGTCATTCTATCATGCACTAACTGCCAAGAA